TTACACTACTAAATTAGGGACAGATAGCCTTCGTGTAGCTTTGCACGAAATTCAAAAAACAAACAAACAATATAAATTTACACATATGCACAACACTGAAGAAAAAATATTAGCTTCTCAACATTCTGAATGAATGTCTTTCTTTGGATGTAAATGACCACAGTCGAGTTATTCCAGGATGAACATTCACTTGGTAACAACAGCATCGTTGAAAACGTTGTTTGGCTCCATTCATCCTGTTATGTATGCCTGCTAAGCTAGTTAGATACCCCTGCTAAGCTACATAGACTTCACTGTGTAAATCTTGTTATGCCATGTGAAATATTTATGTTTCAGTCATTGAAGAAGAAATTTTTTTGTCAGCTTTAAAAAACACTTTAAATTTTAACTTATTAGATTGGTAGATATTCCTTACAGAATATTTTATCATCATTGTGTAATTGAAGAGCTGTTTTATTTCTATTACTTATGTAGCCCAACAACTCTTAATGTGTGAATACCTAGGTTTGTTAAATGCATACTAAAAAAAACACATCTACTGAAAAGTTCGTTTTGAATTATTTAAACAATTTTGACAAGTAACTATAAATGATGGAAAATCTACTAACTTTAAAAAATGATTTATGTTTGTATAGATAAAGCAATAAAGAAATTAGTGTCATTGCTAATCTCTATAAATTCTAAATACATAATATTGAAAACTAAAAAGCAACATAAATGTGTAAATGCCTTGTGTATAATAAATGTTTCCAGTTAAGGTTGTAGAATGCAATAAGTATGTATTCAGTTTGTACATCTCTAAAACCTAATTATATAAATATTGTTTTACATAATTAAATATAGCAGCTCTGATGATATTTTAGTAGCTACTTAACCCTTGTATTACCAGTTTGTTTTAGTACCTGTTACTACCAATGGAGCCAAACATATTGTATCGTATTGATTATTGAATAATTTGATATTTCTACTTTTTAAACTTGCAACTTTTAACATAAAGAACTGACCAAAAACCCTTGGGTTAAATCACTCATATTCCAAGTAAAACTCATAGGAAATCCCCGTAGTAATTAGTGGGATTAACTGCAACATTAATGGTATTTTATTTAAATTTTTTGTAACAAACAAACTTATGATTTCCCAGGAAATTTGATGCATAAATAGTATTCAGTAATTCTAGGGTTAAACTGTGACTTAGAAAAATTATTAGATAAACAGCAATTAATTAATGACCCCTCATGGAAAGAAAAAACGTTAATTACCGTATCTTATATATATTGCGAACCGTGGTGTCTGCCCGAGCGTTCGTCTGTCTCCGTTTGAAAAGCTGCGCACGCAGGCACGGCTGAACGTTCTTTTTTTTTTTAAATGAGTGGAGAACAGACATGAATAATGTTGATGACAAATCTTATTTCGCAAGTGGATATTCTACACTAAATTGGTAGGAATTAATCACACTATCATTCACATTTTAAAATGTAACGTAACTTAAAGAATAAAAATGTAGATCTATCGTATGTTATTGTTGAGCTGCTCTTATCATAATTGAAATGTTCAACAAGTACTTTTCATGGTGGGCGGAATAAGTAGCTCAGAGCTTTGGCTCCGAGTAAAACCAAGAGTGCAACACAATTAACCTTTTTAAAGTCTACGAAATAATATAAATTGACAGATTAACTTAAACTTTACCCGTCACTGGGGACGGGTACTTTTGCTGGTAAAAATATAATCTTTACAACTGTTGTGTAACTTCTTCAACAGATGCTGTACTTACTTTAGTAATATTGGTAAACAACTGAAAAATATATCAGCCATTTAACTGGGTAGTTTGTATAAATTATTCTTTGGATGGTTTAATAATGGTTGGAGACGGCTTGAATGGGTAATGAAGAAAAACTTTAATACAAGTTTACATAACAGCAAATGTACAACGTTTCGACAAGGTTTTGTCATCATCAAGTCTCCAACCATTATTAGTCTCAAAGTGGGTTCCTCGTCATCGACTTTGGATGGTTTGTTACCAACTCTTCTGTTTTCAAAATAAAGTAGAAAAAATATAGATTGTAGCAATGGATATGTACATCAAATTTAGCCACATAAGTAAATAGAAGTACCATTACAGAACTCTTCACATAAATATAGATTGTAGCAATGGATACGTACATCAAATTTAGCCACATAAGTAAATAGAAGTACCATTACAGAACTCTTCACATAAATATAGATTGTAGCAATGGATATGTACATCAAATTTAGCCACATAAGTAAATAGAAGTACCATTACAGAACTCTTCACATAAATATAGATTTTAGCAATGGATATGTACATCAAATTTAGCCACATAAGTAAATAGAAGTACCATTACAGAACTCTTCACATAAATATAGATTGTAGCAATGGATATGTACATCAAATTTAGCCACATAAGTAAATAGAAGTACCATTACAGAACTCTTCACATAAATTTAATTTCAACTCAGAGGTGTCATATTCGGGACTCGGGCGAGTAGGCACGGGAATCTTCGGCATTTCAGTATGAAATCGATCATGGTTTCCTATTCTGATTTTTCAAGACATCAACCAAGTGTGAGGAATCGGGGCACAGGACCTGTGTGACAGTGCATAGCAACAACGCCTCTGTTTTAACTTGCAGAAATGATATAAAATGCAGTTTTACTTAGTAATTCAGGTTTTATTAATTTCTTGCTTTTAATTGCCATAGAAGTAAAATAAAGTATTAAAAGTCCTTCTTATTCTAATGCATACAAATTATCCACTCACTTTTGTAAGTTTCAATCTTCTTGTTTCTTGTTGTTGACATAATGATTAAAACTCATCAGTAGGGTATCACAGTTATCTGATTTCAGTGAATGTGTACTTGACAGGAACTGTATAGATATTTCTGAATGCTTCTATAAAAACAAAAAAACCTGAACTGCTTTGTTAGACTGTCACTGGGAAGACATCGAAAGTAGACATTAACTTATTTAACACTCAGACTCAACGTTACTTAGTGATGTTATTTACTGG